GGGTACGAACTTTGGATCGCTCTCCTGACCAAACTATGGGGACCATATTTCCCAGATTGCGGCTACCCCCTATATTTTGAAGGTTAAGAATCCAAATATGTAAGAAAAAATATATGTTTATTCAGAGAAAGTACGTTTTTGTGTCTGATTTCGTAACTTAATTAATAGTTAGCACTAATTAATTAGCATATTTGAAATCACCCCCAGGAACCATTAAAATTGACACTTAGTTCCTGAAAATCCGATCATTAGAACGAAAGTTATTCAGGGTGATATCTTTTTTTTTTTTTTTGCGGACTGTACGTAACATAGTACGCTGATCACAATGCATGCAGGAATTTATCTACAACGAAATTAAATTAGTTATACTGGTTATGGTTTGAGGAAAATTTTTTTAACGCAAACGAAATGATCAATCTCAAAGAAAAAACATGTGAACACAATGGAAACGCAACTATGTGTAGTCAAAACTTCAAAACAACTTTATATGCCTTCCCCTTTTTTCGATCCACCTTCTCTTAAATAGGCAGTCTTCTACCTCTCATCTACATTTGCTTAGTTATTAGCAAGCTTGACTGACTTATGACCATAAAAAGTCCGATCATCGATTTACGATCCAAGCGATCGCTTGCTGTAATGATAGGTTTGCGCATTCATATTGTAAAAGTTATTTTTCAAAACGAAAATGAAATTAAATCACGTACTTTTTGTAATATTTTAAAAAAAGGTAAAGAATCCTCAAAAGTTTTCAAAATAGAAAGTTGCATTCAGTTATATTCGATGCTTGGTCTAATTGGTCAGTCCCATAAAGATAACTTAAAAAATAAGCTATTAATCTGCAATGCAGCTATTGCTTTACGAATAATTGTTTGCCATTGGTCAAAGGAAATAAAAACATTGTTTTTTCATTTATTTCTAGTGTAATAGAAATTATAAACTATAAAAGTGAAAAAAAGAGAAATTTACTACCAATAAAAGTTGCGGCTACTAACTAAAACTACTAGGAAATAATCAATAGATCAAATTAAATGAGATTCGAACAAAATAGCTTGTTATTTAAAAAAGTTACCATCACGTATAAAAAAATTCTATATTTTACTAACAGTTTCCTTATTTCAGCAAAAGCAGCGTTCGTAAAGGTACAAAAAATATCTCGTTGAACAGAAAGGAAATTCAGGCAAAGTAGGGCACATCAGATAGCTATTTATAACCTTGACGTTCAATAGCATCTTCTGAATAATGCCGCACTTTTCTTCGAGATTGTATCAATTGCTTCTGTTGGGTATCAATTCAGGGAAAGATTTTTTTCAAAAGATGTATATAGTTTTCTTGGGAAGAACAATCATTATTCATCTTTTGGCTTGAATAAGAATACCAGTTGCCGTATATGCGTCAAACAACCGGGGTAATGTTTCATCAATGGTATTCTTATCTTAACAAATCCTCCCATTTGAAGTGATTGATACCCGTATCTTTTCCAGATATGTTAAAAGATTTATTCATTTTTTTTTCACTTTTGTGATTTCTGGATTACGGAAGCAAAAAAATGATGAAGGAAGGATATTTTGGGCAATAAATGTAGTTTGTTAACATTTTATAATTGGAGGCTGTCGTTTGAAACTCGGAAAATAGATTATATAATTTGTTTTTTGACTGAAATGAGGTTTTTTTTTGTCTTAATGCTTTATATATAGCTTTGTTTCTTGCTATTTCTTAATAAATAAAGCATGAGTGAGTACTCTACCCTACTATTACTAAAACAATTTTTCTGCTTTAGTAATTAGTTCACATGCATACGCATTTCTCTTCACTCCTGATGGAGCATAGGACTTCCATCCTAGTTCCTAATTTTGCTTTATTTTAAAACCGTCGTTGAACAGCCGACCCAATTTTTGTGTTTACGACTACTAATGTTGACCTCCGAGGCCTTGTAATTTTGAACCCAATCCAGAAGACAAGGGAACTCCTGGATCAAGTATTGGGAGAAAGTTTGCCTTCGTGGAGGACTTTTTTGATTGGACTAACCCGCATTTGCGTTACATGGAGAGGTAGACCACGAGAAACTTCCACGGTTAGCCTGACGACAAGGAGACTCCGTATACCACTAAAGATATTTCATGTCAGCACTGTAGTCGGTGCAAGCCAGATGCGGATTCGTCTCGACCAGCCGTTGCAGGGATTTGAACTCTGTTCACCTCATTGGAAGGCGAACGCTATATCCCCTAAGCCACCGCGGCTTCTTAGTTCCTAATTCTCCATCTCACTTCATTTGCTGCCGGATATTTTGCTTATCTTCAAGTCTTTCTTATTATTTTCAATTCACGTATAATCGACGGGTGCCAAGTAGTTTTAGGTTTTCTTCTTTTTCTATTCTTCTGGTGATTAAAGTCATAAAATTGTTTAAATTTAAATTTTTCAGGTTTACGTGGAGCATGACCAATCCATTTCCATTTATGCTTTTTAATATCCAGTTTAATTGGTTTCTGTTTTGTTTTTTTAAGGATTCGTTAGTAATAGTAGGGTAAGGAAAATTGTTGTGGGTCAAATCATCATACATTGCATAATTCTGGATCTTTAATGAATTTGTTTTGTTATACTGTCAACAAAAAAAAAAATAGGCGAATTATGAAAATTATTTATGAATATTCTATAGTGTGTACTAGTTAGAACTAATGTATGTGTCATACTAAAAGGTTTTAGTATTACGGGGGGAAAAAACATATGATTTTTGGTCCATGTTTATTTGAATTTCGTAAACATCGTGTGTTCTGTATCTGATACAGTGATTGGCATTCATTTGCCCTGGTGAGCGACGAGCAAAATTATAAATGTCAAAATTAAATGTATCGCTTTGAATTTAATTAGCGTGGTGTAGCTATATAAAAATGGGTAAAAAAAGGGGGGGTAACTAACATTAAGTCAAATTAAGATTAAATGCAATTTAGAAAGTAATTAAGTAAAGGCCGAAAAAGATGATAGTGGGGTACATTACAATTGTATGATGCAATGGTTCAGATAAGTGCAACCGAGGAACATGCTGAAAAAAGGAAGGAAGAGAAAACAACTTACATGATAAAGTAACTCACCAGACCCATAGTAAAGGATGCTATACGATTATTTTATTAAAAATTTAACATATTTTGCACTATCAACACATTGGCAAACAGGCCAACAAAAAAATAACTCGGCCTAAGCCGAAAAACAAACGAACACAAATTGAGAGAAAAACAACTACTGACTATTTCTTCGTTATGAAGATAGGGGAGAAAACTCTCGCCAAAAAAATTAAACTTTTACGAATATCGCATTGGTTGGACGGAGAAGGATTAGAGGGGCAAATCACAGAGCTGCAAATATTGGCCAACTGGCGAAATTAATTGTTAAGCTCCATGCCAAACATGAAGCAGGGTTGTCAAAAGTGGTGACACACCTGGAAAAGAATTTTGTGGAATGTTCTGGAGCATTCTTGGCGCCATCATAAGATCAAAAGGGGAGCTTTGCATTTGATGCAAGCTGAAACGTGGGAAAACGGACATTGGGGTCACTCCTTCTCAATCCAAAAAAGGGGTTTGCTGACTGGACATACATCTTGCTGTCAGCGAAGTAACAAAAGGAGGAATCTTCTTTTAAAGGAAGAACATAAATGCAGAGAAAGATTACTTTCCCAAGGTTACAAAATAAATTGAGGCTTAAAACTTAAATATTACATGAAATTGTTGCAAGGAATTATTGAATACTGATAAATAAATAATATTAATTACAAGTGTAAAAAGAAGAGATTAAAAAACATACAATTAAAAGTTTATCACAAATTTAACAGTTACAATTATTTAAGCTGTTTATTACATTATTAACAAATTAACAATTAACAAATGATTATTAAATTAGATGGATGATGATGATTAAATAAATTAGATGATTAGATAATGAAATTGGATAATTAAATTAGAATTAACAAATGATTTTAATGAATATGTAGTATACCATACTACAATTAGTTAGTTAAAATTAATTAAAAAGGCACTCAAAATTTCAATTATCAGGCCAATTATTTACTTTAAATATCGAAACTAAGAGTAACAACCGGAACTAAGATTTATAACAATAATCAACAAGTTTTTCTTCCTATTTTAGTTCAAATATAGATGTAATAGCTCTAAAGTTAAGAAATTATTTTACTGCATTAAAATTTTGCTTTCACACCAATCTATTTGAGTGATCCAGAGGTAAGAAATTGCGGATAATATTAGAGGTACTGCGTTTATAAAACGCATTAAGAGTACAATATGAAAAGTTTCGGATCAATACAGCGAAATTACAGGCACTCAGAAGATCAGTTCTTTTTACCGTAAAATCTATTTTACCGGAACATGTTACGAAACTAAAAGTATTATGTACCGAAATATTTTCAGTAATATTTGCCGTAAAGTCACTAATTTACTCTAATCAGGTAAATATCACTTCTAAATTAAAGGTATACAATTTTACGGTAAAAATTCATTTTACATATGATTAAAGTACCGGGGCTTTATACCGTAATTTGATTCAGAATTTTTCACATTGGGGAGAATTTCGGATACATTCCGGTAACAGAACTGTTGTAATCAGCAGACTTGCTAGATACGTAAAATTGCTTGAGTAGCTAAACGAATAGTATCTATCAACTAGGTTGATAGTACATGCATTGTCAAGTACTATCAACTAGGCTTATAGTATATTCATTGTCAAGTACTATCAACTAGGCTTATAGTACATTCATTGTCAAGTACTAGCAAAAGCACAGAGCAATTTATCAACTAGGTTGATGGTACATGCATTGTCAAGTACGATCGAAAACCCTAAGTCTTTGAGAGGGAATCCAGAATTAATTCCTATTGTTCAATTAAGCATGGTAAAAAATGGTTGAGGAAATTAAGTTATTTCTTTGGTGAGATGAGGAATTACGATGTCCAGGGCACGTGAAATACGGTCGACTGGTCACCAATAAATTTTAAGTGGCAGCTATACTTTTAGCTTTTAAATTAAACTATACATTTAGTTTTTTGATTTCTGTCATTTCTTATAGCTTAATATTTACATTAAAAAATTAATCTGAGTATTACATTACAGCTAAAACATTATATTTTTTCCCGTTTCCCTACTTAATTGTAACGGTTATAGGAAGAACCATTAAATTTTTCGTTATCTGCAAAATTTTGAGCATTTCGTACATTTTTGATTCCATAAATTGTAATAATATTGTATTAAAAGATTCAGGAATTTTAAAAATCTTGTAAAAATCCATAGTAACGAGTGCGATCGAACATGGAATTACGATGAAATCGGTTTCAAATTAATCTAACGTGGTCGATAATCGCTATGTAATTTCTCATTTGTGCGATTCAAGATCCGTTAATAGCAATAATAGTAATCCAAGTTAAATGATATTATTATTTTAAAATTGTTTAAAAATCAATGAGTATAATTGCGAAATTCTATCAAAACCACGTAAGTTAAAGACGAAATACTTGTTTCAAATTATATAAAATTTAAACTTTAATATTAATTTTATTCTTGATATTTTATAATATCTTTTATGCCAACATTGGTCTAATAATTTACACACACTAATTTACCTCATATGCCCTATTTTTTATACTTTTCATGTTTGAACATTGCAATACTTACTTAATACTTACTTTACTTGTAAAGTGTAATGTTTGCTTTAAACCCGTGCTCTGTGATCTTTACTTGGAACTGCTACAACTTTATACTTATTTTATACTTTCACAAAATTTGCATCAGCTTCAAAGAGTATGAATTACAATATTTTTGAAAAAAAAAAGTTCAAAACACCTAAAAAATAGGTTAAACTTTTTTGTTTTAAATGGTACTTAAAATTTTAAAAAAAATAATGACGCTTAATAATTTGATACTTTGCTTTCTTAACATTGGCGCTGGTTTTAATAGTCAAAAATGTAAAAAAAATTAGATAAAAAAAAGTTTTTAACAATGCATTGTCTTTTAAAAAAATGTCAAAAACTTTTTTAAAATGGTCTTAAAATCTAAAGCTAATAAAAACAATGGTTATTTTAAATGATTTAAATACATTTTCTCTACATACAGTTCATTTAAATTTTCGATATATATATATATAAAACATTATAACAGTACATAGCACTTAATAACAACTATGCAATAATTTTTAAATTTATTTTANTTTAAACATAATTTCAGTAACATATATATATATATAGTGTTGTTTATAAGCAATAAAGTAATTTAACGATTTTCAGTCATAGGAATAAATTGCATAGATATCTTTACAGTAAATAGCATTTTCATTGTCCTGTCAAAATGAGTCGATAAGGTCAGCATGACACTTTCGTTGATGGATGACACATAATTTGGTAATAGGGATGCATTGTTTAACTGAAATTAATTTGCAAAGCTCATGTAATCACTTTAGCCTTAAACGCTCGGTCCATACAGTTGTAATGAGAAAATTATTTGGTTCATGAGGCTTTTGGTATACTTGACTCAAAACTATTTGCTTCTATTTAATTCAATTATCCTTGATTGCGTATTACTCGGCTCTTTTCAAATGTCCAGTCTTTAAAGCAGTTATAAATTATAATAAATTTCTCATAATTTTCAAAATAATTTAAAATTTGTTTATTACGATATTTACAGAGTGGCAAAAAATGACATGAACCCTTTTAAAGTTATAAATATTTTTCCCCGCTAGCATTTTTTTAGATGCGTTTTTAATACTTTGTCATGAGCGTATTAAGGATATTAACATACAAATAATTTGCGTACACTCCTTTTTTCTGAAAAAAGAAAGACATTAATTATTTTTACACGTTATAGTAATTGAAAGATAAACGATATATTAAACCCATTTTTAGAAAATAAACTGAAAAATCCCTTCCAAAGAATATTATACTTATATAAGTATAATATTTTTTGGAAGGGATTTTTAGTTCATTTGTTAAAGCTTTATTTTATTTTAAAGGTTTAAATATTTACAATGAAATAATTTGATATTTATTCTAAAATGAAGACATAATAGAGAAATTTTATTACTTTTAAAAAGTTTTGTTACTTTTATATTTGTTAGTATAAATATTTTCAAATGTTCAAATAAAATTTTTAACATGAAATTAAAAACTAATTAAAAGTTTTCTATCTTACTTGCATTTTAATAATATGTGCCATGTTATCGGAGTTTATAGATTGATCAACAAAATGAAATGTCTAAAAATGGTTAAAAAATGAACTTTGTAAAGTTATTTCGGGGTAAAACGATTTGTGATATTTTCGTAATAAATAACAGCTTTGAAGTACAGAAAAGTTTTATCATTGGATTATTTAGTTACTTAGAGAGCTAAAAATATCTAAATTGTTCTACAAGTGTAGACTTTATTTATTCTTATAAGAATTAAGCTTTATTATTTCCCCATAGACCTGATTTATAAAAGAAAAATTAGGAAATATTTAAGTTATATTATAAATGTATTATATAAAAAAGTTATAAGAAGTTTAAATATTTTTTTTGTAATAAAAAATTATTAAGTTAATTTATTTTAATGAATTTTTCTGCCTTCTTTGTTATATAAATCTTCTTGTTAATAATATTTTCTCTAACTTGTATTTACATATGAAAATCAGTTTTTTCCTTGTAAGCGAACCCAATAGAACGACACAATATATCCGTGTACTTTAATATGAGGCTTATTTAAGTCATTTTTTCTTACGAGAAAAATATTTAAATCAGCCTATTATTTTAGATTTTTTTCTTCCTTTTATGGGTCTCTTGAGTCCAAGACTGTCTTTTTCTGCACTTACTTGGCATCCATTAAACAGTATAATTTTTATCTTTATCCGTAATGTTTATTCCATAATGTTTTATTTATTTTCCCTTTTCGAATAAATTTGACACGCTTTTTCCCTAAAAAAATCCCTCTTCTTAAAATATCAGGGACTTATTCGACTAGAGTTTTTCCCTATTCAGAAAAAAAATATTATTATGTTCGTATTGCATAGCTGAAAGACTACATGTAAGTCCTCGGGCTACTCTTGGGTGCTTTCATTTTCCATTAAAAGATTCTAATGCAGCGATAGTACTTAGAATAAGTACTTTATTTGTGTTCCCGGCGTAGGAAACATTTTTACAACTTTCAGAATTTTGAAAAAGCAGAAGGAATTACACTTATATGGATCTCTCCTGAGATTTTTTATTTTATCATTTTTAAAATATTAAATACAATCTGCTCTAAGAAAATATATTTTAAAAGGGATTAGATTTGGAAAATATACTTGAGACTAC